CATTTTTGAATGGGCTTGTTTGTTTTTTTCCTGTAAATCTGTTTGAGTTCTTTGTAAATTCTGGATATCGGCCCTTTGTCAGATGGGTAAACTGCAATAATGTTTTCCCGTTCTGTTGGTTGCCGATTCACTCTAGTGACAGTTTCTTTTGCTGTGCAGAAGTTGTGGAGTTTCATTAGGTCCCATTTGTCTATTTTGGCTTCTGTTGCCAATGCTTTTGGTGTTTTAGTCATGAAGTCCTTGCCTACTCCTATGTCCTGGATGGTTTTACCTAGATTTCCTTCTAGGGTTTTTATGGTGCCAGGTCTTATGTTTAAGTCTGTAATCCATCTGGAGTTAATTTTAGTGTAAGGTGTCAGGAAGGGATCCAGTTTCTGCTTTCTGCACATGGCTAGCCAGTTTTCCCAACACCATTTATTAAACAGGGAATCCTTTCTCCATTGCTTGTTTTTGTCAGGTTTATCAAAGATTGTATGGTTGTAGATATGTTGTGTTGCCTCCAATGCCTCTGTTTTGTTCCATTGGTCTATATCTCTGTTTTGGTACCAGTACCATGCTATTTTGATTACTGTAGCCTTGTAGTATAGTTTGGAATCCGGTAGTGTGATGCCCCCCGCTGTGTTCTTTGTGCTTAGAATTGACTTGGCTATGCAGGCTCTCTTTTGGTTCCATATGAAGTTCATGGTGGTTTTTTCCAGTTCTGTGAAGAAAGTCAAAGGTAGCTTGATGGGGATAGTGTTGATTCTGTAAATGACTTTGGGCAGTATAGCCATTTTCACAATATTAATTCTTCCTAACCATGAACATGGAGTGTTTCTCCATCTGTTTCCTCTCTTATTTCGTTGAGCAGTGGTTTGTAGTTTTCCTTGAAGAGGTCCCTTACGTTCCATGAGTTGTATTCCTAGGTATTTTATTCTTTTTGTAGCAATTGTGAATGGCAGTTCGTTCTTGATTTGGCTTTCTTTAAGTCTGTTATTGGTGTAGAGGAATGCTTGTGATTTTTGCACATTGATTTTATATCCTGAGACTTTGCTGAAGTTGCATATCAGTTTCAGGAGTTTTTGGGTTGAGGTGATGGGGTCTTCAAGGTATACTGTCATGTCGTCTGCAAATAGAGACAATTTGGCTTCCACCTTTCCTATTTGAATACCCTTTATTTCTTTTTATTGCCTGATTGCTCTGGCTAGAACTTCCAGTACTATATTGAATAGGAGTGGTGAAAGAGGGCATCCTTGTCTAGTGCCAGATTTCAAAGGGAATGCTTCCAGTTTTTTCCCATTCGGTATGATATTGGCTGTTGGTTTGTCGTAAATAGCTTTCATTACTTTGAGATACGTTCCATCGATACCGAGTTTATTGAGGGTTTTTAGCATAAAGGGCTGTTGAATTTTGTCTTCTTTTCATCAATTGAGATAATCATGTTTTTTTTGTTTTTGGTTCTGTTTATGTGGTGAATTACGTTTATAGACTTGCATATGTTGAACCAGCCTTGCATCCCCGGGATGAATTCTACTTGATCATGATGGATAAGTTTTTTGATTTGCTGTTGCAATCGGCTTGCCAATATTTTATTGAAGATTTTTGCATCTATGTTCATCATGGATATTGGCCTGAAGTTTTCTTTTCTTGTTGGGTCTCCACTGGGTTTTGGTATTAGGATGATGTTGGTCTCATAAAATGGTTTGGGAAGGATTCCCTCTTTTTGGATTCTTTGGAATAGTTTCAGAAGGAATGGTACCAGCTCCTCTTTGTGTGTCTGGTAGAATTTGGCTGTGAACCCATGTGGACCTGGGCTTTTTTTGTGTGGAGTGTTAAAGTCTCCCACTATTATTGTGTGGGAGTCTAAGTCTTTTTGTAGGTCATTAAGAACTTGCCTTATGTATCTGGGTGCTCCTGTATTGGGTCCATATATGTTTAGGATCGTTAGCTCTTCCTGTTGTATCGATCCTTTTACCATTATGTAATGGCCTTCTTTGTCTCTTTTGATCTTTGTTGCTTTAAAGTCTATTTTATCAGAGATGAGAATTGCAACTCCTGCATTCTTTTGCTCTCCATTTGCTTGGTAAATCTTCCTCCATCCCTTTATTTTGAGCCTTTGTGTATCCTTGCATGTGAGATGGGTTTCCTGGATACAGCACACTGATGGGTGTTGGTTTTTTATCCAATTTGCCAGTCTGTGTCTTTTGATTGGTGCATTTAGTCCATTTACATTTAGGGTTAATGTTGTTATGTGTGAATTTGATACTGCCATTTTGATGCTAGCTGACTGTTTTGTCCGTTAGTTGATGTAGATTCTTCATTATGTTGATGCTCTTTAGCATTTAGTGTGATTTTGGAATGGCTGGTACTGGTTGTTCCTTTCTATGTGTAGTGCCTCTTTCAGGAGCTCTTATAAAGCAGGCCTGGTGGTGACAAAATCTCTGAGTACTTGCTTGTTCGCAAAGGATTTTATTTTTCCTTCACTTCTGAAGCTCAGTTTGGCTGGATATGAAATTCTGGGTTGAAAGTTCTTTTCTTTAAGGATGTTGAATATTGGGCCCCACTCTCTTCTGGCTTGTAGAGTTTCTGCTGAGAGATCTGCTGTGAGTCTGATGGGCTTCCCTTTGTGGGTGACCCAACCTTTCTCTCTGGCTGCCCTTAGTATTTTCTCCTTTATTTCAACCCTGGTGAATCTGACTATTATGTGCCTTGGGGTTGCTCTTCTTGCGGAATATCTTTGTGGTGTTCTCTGTATTTCCTGCATTTGAGTGTTGGCCTGCCTTGCTAGGTGGGGGAAATTTTCCTGGATAATATCCTGAAGAGTATTTTCCAGCTTGGATTCGTTCTCTTCATCACATTCTGGTACACCTATCAAACATAGGTTAGGTCTCTTCACATAGTCCCACATTTCTTGGAGACTTTGTTCATTCCCTTTTGCGCTTTTTTCTCTGATCTTGGTTTCTTGTTTTATTTCATTGAGTTGATCTTCGACTTCTGATATTCTTTCTTCTGCTTGGTCAATTCGGCTGTTGAAACTTGTGCATGCTTCACGAAGTTCTCGTATTGTGTTTTTCAGCTCCTTCAATTCATTCATATTCCTCTCTAAGTTATCCATTCTTGTTGTCATTTCCTCGAATCTTTTTTCAAGGTTCTTAGTTTCTTTGCATCGATTTAAAACATGTTCTTTTAGCTCACAAAAGTTTCTCATTATCCACCTTCTGAAGTCTAATTCCGTCATTTCATCATGGTCATTCTCCGTCCAGCTTTGTTCCCTTGCTGGTGAGGAGTTTTGGTCCTTTGCGGGAGTTGAGGTGTTCTGGTTTCCTGTGTTTTCCTCCTTTTTGTGCTTGTTTCTTCCCATCTTTGTGGATTTATCCACCTGTCGTCTGTGTAGTTGCTGACTTTTCGATTGGATCTCTGAGTGGATCCCCAGATTGTTGATGATGAAGTATTTCTGTTACTTGGTTTTTCTTCTACCAGTCTAGCCCCTCCACTGTATGACTGCTGAGGTCCACTCCAGGCCCTGCTTGTCTGGGGTGCACCTATAGCAGCTGCAGAACAGTGAGGGATGCTACCAGTTTTTTTTTCTGCTATCTTTGTCCCAGAATGATTCCTGCCAAATGTCAGTCTTCTGGATATAGAGGGGTCAGGGAGCTGCTTGAGGAGACAGTCTGTACTTTATAGGAGCTCAAGTGCTGATCTGTGAGCTCTGTTGTTCATTCAGGGCTGTTAGGCTGCTACATTTAATTCTGCTGCAGCAGAACTCATTTTTTTCTCAGATGCTCTGTCTTGGGGGGTTGGGGTTTTCTTTGTGAGTGTCCGCCTCGCTGTCCTGCCCAGCTAGGAGGCAGTCTAGTCACTATTTGCCTGCTGAGGCTCCGTCATGCTGGTGTGAGGTCCGCCCTGTTGCTGCAGCTCTGCCCTGCTGCTGCGGTCTCCACCCTGCTTCCACGGGCTACGCTCTGCGGCAGAGTCTCTATGTTATGGTGGGTTGCCTCGGCAACGGCAGGCTGCGTCAGCAATGGGAGTGTACCTCAGTAGGGGCGGGTTGCCTCGGTAATGGCAAGTGACCCTCCCCCACCGAGCTGCACCGTCCTGGGTTCAGCTGTGCCTGCAGTGAAACTCTCCAACCGGAGCATTTGGAATCACCGTTTTGTTTGTACCACTGCCCTGGCCCAAAGGCTGTTTCCCTGGAATCTCCTGGCCTGGCTCACTGTCCAAGTCCCCTTCAATCAGATGGATATGCCAATCTACCCTCTCAAGTCTCAAATTGCCGGTTCAACAAGGCACCCGGACCAGTGCGCTTTGTGCGGAGCGCTGTGGAGCGCCACTGTGCTGCAGCACCGGCCACCGGCTGCACCGGCCACAACTGATGGGCTGGCATCCCGTGTCTCTTTTATACCTGGGAATTTCTCCGTTCTGTGGACAACAAAGATCTGTCTAGAAATGTGGCCCTGACTCAGCCTCCGCGCGTTCACCGAGAGCTTCAATCCTTGGTTGTTCTCACCGCACCATCTTGAGTCGGTCTCCTCAGTCTTCTTAAGTAGCTGGGACTACAAGCATGCACCACCATGCCTGGCTAATTTTGTATCTTTTATATGCAGGGTCTTCCTCTGGTGCCCAGACTGGTTTGAAACTCCTGGGCTCAAATGATCCTTTCACCTTGTCATCCCAAAGTGTTGGTATTACAGGTGTGAGCTCTCACACCTGGCCATTTTAGTTTTAATAATTTTATATTTTTCTAACTTAGAGTATTTACTGTCTATTTAATTTATGAATATAATATTCATTATTATTATGATTTTGTATGTATTTAATCTCTTTTTTTTTTTCAGATGGAGTTTCGCTCTAGTTACCCCGGCTTGAGTGGAATGGCATGATCTCGGCTCACCGCAACCTCCGCCTTCTGGGTTCAGGCAATTCTCCTGCCTCAGCCTCCCGAGTAGCTGGGATTACAGGTACATGCCACCATGCCCAGCTAATTTTATGTACTTTTAGTAGAGATGGGGTCTCACCATGTTGACCAAGATGGTTTCAAGCTCTTGACCTCATGATCCACCCACCTTGGCCTCCCAAAGTGCTGGAATTACAGGCTTGAGCCACCATGCCCAGCCATCATTTTCATATAAATTCTTGGAAATTAGAGATCTTGTTTCTTACTTGCTACTGTGTTCTCAGTACTTGACCTTGCCTGGTATGATACAGATACTGAAATAGTTGTTAAATGAATGAATGAACCACATTCATAAATTCTCCAAGTATCACAGTGTTCACCATCTAACAAATAAAAGAGCTTGTCTAGAGTAGAGTCACAGTTAACCTGCCATACAAGGAAATGTCAATGAAAATCAACCATTGTATGTGTAGCTGCTAAGATTTGGGGGCTTTTGTTACTGCAGCATAAACTAGTGAAGCTCAGTGAGACGGCAGATAGAATAGACACACACACACACACACACACACACACACACACACACCAGATAGACCAGTAGATGAGATTCCAAAGATAGTTTAATCAGCATTAACTAACCACACCTACACTCTCTTAATTTCCTAACAGAATGAATGGAATTCCTGTTCACTAGGATCTGCCTCCAAGAGTACTTTGTGAAAACTTCTCTGGGTATGCAAGTATTTAATCAGGACCTTTTCTTTTTCCTCCTGCAGGTTGGAGTGCAGTGGTGCCATCATAGCTCACTGTAACATCTATCTTACGTCTCCAGGAATTCTCCTGCCTCAGTCTCCCAAGTAGCTGAGACTGCATGTGTGTACCACCATGCTTGGCTAATTTTTTATTTTCAGAGACAGGGTCTTACTATGTTGCCCAGGCTGGTCAGGACTGTTGATTGCGTACGACAGAAACCCAACCAACCCTAGTTCCCACCACCTTTCAGTCTGCTCCTTTCTTAGTCTTTCGAGTCTCAACAAATGGCAGTTTCATCCTTCACGTTGCCCAAGCCCCAAATCTTAATAGTAACCTTGATTTCTCTCTTTTATGTCATAGCTTATATGAAGGCCAATTATGTTCAGACCCAGGCGGAGCTTCCTGCTGACCCAGGCTCTCACCGGCACATTGTCCTTTTCTGTCCTCCTGAGGGTGTCTGGAGCTTCAGTGCTGTGTGCTCTGGGCCTCCATGCTGGGGCACCACCGACTCTCGCTGTCCAGGGCTTCCAGTGGACTCTCCGAGGCACTGATGTAGAATCTTCCCCATTCAGCATACCAAGAGCAGCCTCCCACGGTGTGGGGTGACATGAAGAGCTGTCAGATCCAACAGGTAAAAATCATGAGGCACTGCCAGCTGGATGCGGTCAGATAATCCTCTCTCTATTGGGACTCAGATGAGAAGGGAACATTCCATAGGCCCTAAACATCGCAGCATGACCAGCGTGTGCCACCGACGAGCTGTAGTGCATGGTCAGGTGGAAGTTATTTGACTTCAGGAGAGGACAGTGTTCTCTTCAGGCCCTTTTCTCAGTCCCTCTCCTCTCTCTTCCCCTCTCACCCCCTAGTCTCCATCCCCACTTGTCTCTCTTTTCACCTGCTTTCTCCTCTTCAGCTTTCATGGTTCTCCCGTCCCCCCGCATTTTCCATGCTAAGGCCCCTGCACTGTCCTGGGTGGGGAGATGTGTCTGGATTTAGGCGGTGCCCTCTAGATCTGTCCAGGATGGGGAAACATGGTTTAGCTGCCAGTATAATGGTTTCAGAGAGTGGCCACTTTTGAAGGTTTTTCAATCTCCCATTCTAGAATGGTGTAGGACTTAAAATTGTTGGGCTACTGTGGAATTCTTGGTTCCTCAGGACCTTGTGGTGGATGCCATCTTTCACTGAGCATTCACAGGGTGGCTATTAGGTGCCAGGCCCTGCTCTGGACTAGGGGCACCATAATGAGTAAATATCAGGTCGCTATCCCATGGAACCCACCACTGCAGGCATCGAGAGGGGGAGAAACAAAGCGACGTGGCCTGTTTGTGTCTTTCTCATATGGTCACCTGCCAGGTTCTGGGGGAGTGGGAGCCAGTGCAAGGAGAGAAGCCCAGTGAGAAAGGCAAAGGGGCGATGTCAGACCCAGGGGCTAAGACCCCCACCTGCAGCCGGGTAGCTTCTGGAGTGGACGAGGAGCAGCAGGAAAAGTCATGGCCTGGTGTTCAGGGGTTCACTGTCCCATCTCATTCCTGTGGATTCCAGAACTTATCCAAAGGGAAGACTCAGGGTCTCTAGCAACAGCAGGCCTGAGACAGAAAGTGACCCAGAGAAATAGGAAGAATTGTATGCCATGGACACGGTGTACGGTTTTATAGTAGTGCGTCCGTCTGTCTCTCAACTAGTTAGTGTGTTCCTGTTAATGGAAAATATCAGTGGTGTAAGTTCCCCTGGATCTCCTCATCTTCATGTAAGTTTGTCTGTTTCCCCATCTCTCCCTTGTTTCCTTCTTTTCCTTTCTTCCGGAGTTTTCTGATCAGGGTCCTGTGAGGCTAAAATCCAGGAATGGCCTGGGAATGCTTTTTCTCTAGAGCTCAGGCCATTTTTCTGAGTTCACTACATGTATTGAAAGAGTTTGTATTCTTGTTCCTGGAGGACTGAGGGCCCTTTTTTCTGTGCTGGCTGTCAGCCAGGAGACACTCTGACTTCAGATGCCACCTGCTTTCCTCCTTACCTGTCCTTTCCATCTTTCAAACAATCACAACTCATAGAGTCCTTCTTGGGCTCCTCCCTTCTCTGACTTCATCTTCTCCAACCAGCCACAGAAAGCCCTGTCACCTACGGAGTGATGTGATTCGATCCACTTCATGCAGGTAACCTCACCATCTTCAAGTCATGTAACTGTCATATAACAACATGATCACAGGAGTGGTTTCTCATCACCTTAACAGGCTTCAGAGACAAGGGTATGGCATGTTTGGGGACCATTTCAGAAATTTCGTCTACCACAGTTGGGCAGTCACATTCCCCCATCTGCAAAATACATGCACCGTCTCCTCTAAAGTTTCCAGATTTCAAGTCATTTTAAAGCATTAGTTCAACATGAAAATGTCACATAGACCACATCAGATCCAAAGTTTAAAATCTCATCTGCAACATCCACACCAGGTGTGGATGAGGCTTCTTGAGGGTGTCCATTAAGTACAGATCCTTGACATAATATCCTCACCTCTGTTGACCTCTGAAACTGAACAAGCTGCTTATCTGCTCCTAATTTGGAATGGCTGGACAGACACAGAATAACAATAACAGTGATTCTAGTTCAAAAAGAAGGAACATGGAAGGGAGAAGGAAGTTACTGACCCAAAATCGTTTGGAAATAGAGCTGGGCAAAATCCAGCAGGAGGTTCTTAAGTAGGATCTACAGCCTGGGACTGACACTTGATCCTGTGGGACTTTGCCTCTGGGATCTTTGCTCTGCATTTCTTGAAACCATTATTATCTATCTTGTTTTTTTCCCCACTCCTGTGGTTCTTCTCCTTTCTCCTCATGGCAGCATCCTCCGCTTAATCCTTGGTCCGTCATCCCGAGCAGAATCGGTCAGATATTGTCCGTGTCTCAGTCCTGACCGTCTCCACAAAGGGCTGTCCTTGTGAGCCCGTGCTCCTCTGGGACCGTCTTCACTTGTTCATTTCATTGAACAAGTTACTTGTAATAAAAGTCACTAATTGTAAATGTAGAATTTAATAATTTAAGTAGATATGTAGAATTTTGTAGCCATTGCCTCAGTCCGCACTTAGAATACATTTCTTAGCGCCCCAGATTCTCCAGAGCCTCTCTGCAGTCATTTTCCAATCTCTGGTCATCACGATGGAGCCTAAACAAATTTTATTAGATTGGAATTTTATATAATTGACCGTTGTCTTACTCTTGTGTTAACTAGAGGGGATATTTCATTCTAAGGACTTTCTTTGGGGGAACTTAGTAGTAGTCCTGTTTATTGCTCTCCTTGAATTGGTTCATCTGTGCTGGTGACACATAGTTGCTATCAAACCTTGTTTGGTGAGCATAAGTGAAAGAACTAAAAAAAAAAAACCTTCTACTAGAAATGTAGATGATGAATTTGCAGATAAAGTTATGTGGAGTTATGTTTGTTTGTTTTTAAGTTGGAGTTTTTCACTCTTGTTGCACAGGTTGGAGTGCAAGGGTGTGATCTCGGCTCACTGTAACCTCTGCTTCCCGGGTTCAAGCAATTCTCCTGCCTCAACCTCCTGAGTAGCTTGGATTACGGGCATGCACCACCACGCCAAGCTAATTTTGTATTTTTAGTAGAGATGGGGTTTCTCCATGTTGGTCAGGCTGGTCTTGAACTCCCAACCACAGGTGATCTGCCCTTCTCGGCCTCCCAAAGTGTTGGGATTCCAGGCGTGAGCTGTCATGCTGGAGTGCTATGGTGCAATCTCAGCTCACTGCAACTTCTACCTCTAGGGTTCAAGTGATTCTTGCTAGGATTACATGCCTGGCTAATTTTGTATTTTTAGTAGAGACGGGGTTTCTCCATGTTGGTCAGGCTGGTCTCGAACTCCCAACCTCAGGTGATTCACCTTAGCCTCCCAATGTGCTGGGATTACATGCGTGAGCCACCACACCTGGCTGGGAGTTAAGTATTTTACCATCTTTTTTCTTTCAGAAATTGTGTTGGTAACATTGAAGAGACACTTCTCACCTTCCTGAAATGTCCTTCGTTATCTTCTTCAAGTTGCAAGGGCTCTGGAACAGCCCTTGCAGTGCTTCCACAAAGGTAAGTATAACATTTTACTGTAGTCTTTTGTTTTTGTTTTTGTTTTGTGCCTATAGGGATTAGCATACATGTACGTGAATATATAAAAAGAGTACAGATAGGCACCTGTAACTAGTTTTCTGTTGCTACCTTTTAACGCATTATAACAAGTTAGTGGTCTGAAACCACAGAACTCAGGAATGACTGGGTTCTCTGATCAGGGTCTTAGGAGGCTGACATCCAGTTATGGGCTTCCTGTGTTTTTCATCTAGAGCTCAGGCTACCCTTCCAAGTTCACTGCAGATGTTTTGGCAGAATTCCTCTTCCTGTGGATGGAGGACTGAGATCCCTTTTTCAGTCCTCCTGGCTGTCAGAGGCCACGTGCATTCTTTCTCACTTTCCCCATCTTCCAACCAACCACAGCTCATGGAATTCTTCTCCAGCTCCCATCCTCTCTCTGACTTTGTCTTCTCCTACCCGCTAGAGAAATCTCTGACACTTAAGGAGTGATGTGATTCAATCCGGCCCACTCAGGAAAGCCCAGCCTTTGTATTAGTCTGTTCTTGCAATGTTTTTTGTTTTTTTTTTTGAGATGGCATTTCGCTCTTGTTACCCAGGCTGGAGTGCAATGCCACGATCTCGGCTCACCACAACCTCTGCCTCCTGGGTTCAAGCAGTTCTCCTGCCTCAGCCTCCCAAGTAGCTAGGGCTACAGGCATGTACCACCATGCCCTGCTAATTTATTTGTATTTTTAGTGGAGACAGTGTTTTACCTTGTTGACCAGGATGGTCTCGATCTCTTGACCTCGTGATCCACCCGCCTCGGCTCTCTTTCAATGTTATAATTAATGACCTGGGTGATTTAGAAAGAAAGAAGTTTAATCAGATCATGGTTCTGTGGGCTCTGCAGGCTTCTGCTTCTGGGGAGGCCTCAGGAAACTTAACAATCATGGTGGAAGTGGAAGCAGACGCGGTCTTCACGTGGCTGGCAGGAGAGAGAGAAAGCGAGAGAAAGGGGAAGTGCTACATACTTTTAAATAACTAGATCTCATGGAATCTGTGTCAAGCAATGGCACTTGGGGGATGGTTCAGAGCCATTAGAAACCATCCCCATGATCCAATAACCTCCCTGCATGGCCCCCCTCTAACACTTAGGATTATAATTCAACATGAGATTTAGGTGGGGACACAGAGCCAAACCATATCTCTCTTTAACGTCATGACTGCCATGTAACAACGCAATTACAGGATTGTCTCACCAGCTTAACAGATTCCAGAGATAAGGGTACAGCATGTTTGGAGATCATTTTAGAACTTCCACCTATCACAGTTCAACTTCTGTTCCCCAGACATTCATATTTCTCAGGGATGCAAAATACATTCACCCTCTCACCTAAGGTTTCCAAGTTTCATGTCATGAATGGGTTAGTTCAAAGTGAGAATTATCATGTAGCTCTAATCTGATCAAAAGTTTAAAATCTCATTTAAATCATCAACACCAAGTGCAAATGAGGCTTCTGAGGGTGTCCATTAGGTACAGATTGTTTTTTGTTTTTCTTTTTGAGAGTGAATCTTGGTCTGTCCCTCATGCTGGAGTGCAGTGGTGTGATCTTGTCTTCCTGCAGCTTCTGCCTCCTGGGTTCAAGCAATTCTCCTGCTTCAGCCTCTTGAGTAGCTGAGATTACAGGCATACACCATTGAATTCAGCTAATTGTTTTGTATTTTTAGTAGAGACAGGGTTTTGCCCTGTTGGCCAGGCTAATCTGAAACTCCTGACTTCAAGGGATCCATCCCCCTCAACCTCCCAAAGTGCTGGGATTACAGACATAAGCCACCATGCCCAAAGTACAGATCCTTGATATAATTCCCTTACCTCTGTTGACCTGTGAAACTGAACAAACAGCTTATCTGCCCTCAGTGTGCAACGGTGGGACAGTCACAGGATAATGATGCTAGTGATTCTTGTTCAAAAAGAGGGAAAGTGGAGGGAGCAAAGTCACTGATGGAAAACCATTTTGAAATGGGGCTGAGCAAAGTCCAGCAGGAATGTCTTGATTAGGCTCCTCAGCCTGGAACTAACCCCCTGTGACAGGGGGCTTTGCTTCTGGGCTCTGCATTTTTTAAATAATTATTGAACACATTTTATTTTCCTTCTTCCCCCACTCTTTTGCTTCTTCCCCTTTCCCCTCATGGCAGCATCCTTCACTTAATCCTTGTTGCATCATACCCAGCAGAATTGGTCAGGTATTGCCTGTGTCATGGTCCTGACTGTCTCCAGGAGGGGCTGTCCTTGTGAGCCTGTAGTCCTCTTTATTGTCCTGACCTCTCGCAGTCATGATTGCTTTCAGCTGACCTGGCTGGCTTAGGAGAAAACCTAAGACTATGGAGTCCCAGAACCCATCTCTGCCCTCTGTATCTCTAAGAGCGGAAGAAACTAACAGGGATCTTCTTGGAGAAATGGCCCATGTGAGGGTCTGGACTCTCCAGCAGTTAACAGCAGAGGAAACTCCCTAAGGAAGAATGGAGGAGCTGAGAGCCCAGGCCAGGAAAGCAGGCTTGTGTGAAACACTCTTTAATACTATATGCTCCCTGCCCCAATCTAACAGCTAGTGAATGACAGCTGACCCGGTATAAATGCCAGGACTATAGAACTGTGATAAAGGGTTTGTCCAAGGAAAGGGGCTTTTACTGTTTTTGTTTTCATAGAGGAAATTGCTATTTTTAATCTAAAGTTTTCTGAAAGGCAGCAGTGAGCTTCTGGAGGGTGAGTTACCTGGTCTGCACACGGAGGTGAGGCCAAGGCTTGTGTGTGGGATCTGCTGTCACCAAGAGGTGAGCGTGCCTTGGAGAGTCTTAGTCTTTCTGGGCTTCAGATTCCTCATTGGTAAGGTAGGGGCTTATTGTACCTCTCTGCGGTCCCTTCCTGCTCTGTTTTCTCTGAGTCTCTAAGAAATTGGGATGGTTTTCAGTGCTACCTGGGACCATCAGCTGAGACCTGACGGTGTGTGTCTCCTGCAGGAGCCCAAGCTGAGTCTACACCCTGAAATTCCAGAGCTGAGGAAAGAAAGAAAGTCAGCAGGTTTAGGGGATGAAAATAATCCACAAAGGATAAGCCATTAATAGATGAAAACAAAAGAAGGGGAGATAAGGACAAACTGGGACAGAAGACTCAGGGGAAATGGGCAATGCCTATGCTCACTTAAATTCTCAGGGAGCAGCATGAGCTAAGCAGTGGGGACTGAGAGAAACTTACTCCATAGGAATCTCCTGCCTCTGGCCAGGGAGAGCCATAGGGTAGATCAGAGCTGGTTTATAGTGAGGGGCAGCTTCAATTTCAGGAGGGGGAGGATGCGACCGTGAGCCCCCCTCCCTCAGACCCAGGAGCCTTGACCTCGGGGCTGCCGTAGCAGTGGATTCTCTTCAGGTTACTGTGGGTTGGAGGGAATAACCGTGCTTAGAGAAGGGTTGGAAGTTTTCATTCTTACATCGAACAGCTCTGCCCTAGGTCAGGTGCCAGAGTAAGTGTCCCTCGGTTGTATATGAAGCAGTGATACTTTACTATTCTTCTGCAGCTTCAGTTGAGGGAAGTTTCTCATAAATATTTATTGAGTATTTACTTTTCTTTATACTGTGCTAAGCACTTGGGATTCAGCTATTTAATGTCTCCAAAGAAAAGCCAGTGAGTGGAAGAACACAAACAAATCATTTCAACAAGATACGGTAGTTCTCCCCAACTGAGGTGTTGTGAAAGCCCAGAAGCTGGGAGGGTATTTCAAAGGACATTGCTCCTAATGACGGGGAAGTGTAAGAGAACATTTTCAGATTGGCCAGGCCTGGTGGCTGATGTCTATAATCCCATCACTTTGGGAGGCCAAGGTGGGTGGATCACAAGATCAAGAGATCGAGACTATCCTGGTCAACATGGTGAAACCCCATCTCTACTGAAAATACAAAAGCATTAGCTGGGCATCGTGGTGCATGCCTGTAGTCCCAGCTACTTGGGAGGCTGAGGCAGGAGAATTGCTTGAACCCAGGATCTGGAAGTTGCAGTGAGCTGAGATCACACCATTGCACTCTAGCCTGGGTAGCTGGAGCAAAACTCTGCCTCAAAAAAAAGAAAAAATTCAAAACAGGCTAGCCTTTCTTCAAGCTCCCACAGGAGAGGATCCTGGGGCAGGGATGGTGTAGGGCAGGTACCTCTCTAGAGAAGAGGATTTGCAGCATTCTGAGAGAAAGAGAATTCTTAGTAGACACTGGGGAGAAAAATGTAGGTGAAAGGGTCGGAGGTTTGTAATCAATTTTATTCAGTCATGGATGAACACTGCTGAGAGACCCCTCTGTGCTGGGCCCTTAGCTAAGAACCGTGACCACAGAGTTGAGTAAAATAGGATCCCAGCTTTCACACAATTCTCAGTCTAGTGACTGGTGATTGATGAGAAGTGTAGTCATGGTGGGTTCATTGGAACCAGTGGCCGATGCTGTATGAGATGACCTCAGTGGATGGCCTGGCCCAGTGACCCTGGACTTCAGCCATATTTCAGCATACGGAGGTACAGTGCACCAATACCTCTGCTCCATGTGGAGTCAAAGCAGTTTACAGAGCCAAGGTATTCAGAGGACACTGATGATATCAGTAGCTATTGACTGTTTCCAGCTGGGGAAACAAAGTAAATTTAATACGTCTTCTAAATTTGTCCCTGCCATAATAAATACGTTTATCTTGATAATGAATGATATTCTGGCAAATTAATTATAACTTACCATAATGAGAAATAACTTTATGCTGAGTACAGCAGACACACAAGCCCTTGAGGACACATGCCTGAGGATTCCGATGAGGATACAATGTCCAAATATGTAAACATTTGGACCTGCAGTCCAAACTTTGAAACAGTGGAATACCTAGTTTCAAATTCAAGGTTGCTTTAAGTAGAAATTCACTTTACCTCTCTTTGCAGGGCAGTGGGGCCAATCTTCCCTAAGCTGCCCCTTACAAGAAAAGGAATCATGCTGGTAAGATTTCAGACTTCAGCAGACATGGGTAAGTAAGGAAGTCTTACAAATCTATTTTAGCCACCTAGTGAGAAATGAGAAATTTAGCAAGTTCATTCACATTCAGGACAGTTGTGTGCACTAGATCAGAGGCCCTGATACATAAAGAATAGAGCCCTAACAAGGGCAAGTAATTCTTCCTGTCCTAGGATATAACTGCCAACTTCAGGGAAGTGGGAACACAGCTGCCCACTTCAGGGTATGGGTTACTTTTGTGCCTGGAATGTGTCTGACATCCTGCTACGTGTACCCATTTCAGGGAGCCTTGGAGGAGCCTGAAAAACTGATGGAATTGGACAGTGCATGGAGATGGTTGAGCAAGATGAGGGTAAGTGCAGGGGCATGGCCAGGTCATACTGGGAGACAATGAGCAGCACTGATGGGGACAAAGATAAAGTCAACAGTTTGTGCTTCAGCATCAAAAACTCAAACCAAGCCGGGTGCGGTGGCTCACGCTTATAATCCCAGCACTTTGGGAGGCCAAGGCGGGTGGATCACAAGGTTAAGAGATCGAGACCATCCTGATCAACAAGGTGAAACCCTGTCTCTGCTAAAAATACAAAAATTAGCTGGGCATGGTGGTGCGTGCCTGTAGTCCCTGCTACTCGAGAGGCTGAGGCAGGAGAATTGCTTGAACCCAGGAGGCGGAGGTTGCGGTGAGCCAAGATCGTGCCATTGCACTCCAGTCTCGTAACAACAGCAAAACTCTGTCTCAAAAAAAAAAAAAATCAAACGAATAAGGAATTTGCTTTCATAAGTAATAAGTATTTTTCTATTTACATGAGAATTTAATCTCAAAACAAATGATAAAAATAGTAAGTCCAGGCCATAAAACCTAAACCATAGCTCATAGTTATTCCTTCTTAATCGAGCTATCAGTAAAATCTTCTTCATAAAACATACATTGTGGTTATAAAAAGGCAAACGTTTACCAGGTGCAGTGGCTCATGCCAGCTGTCCCAGCACTTTGGGAGGCCGAGACGGGTGGATCACGATGTCAGGATATCAACATCGTGCCAACATGCTGAAACCCTGTCTCTGCTAAAAACACAAAACTTAGCCAGGCATGGTGGCACGTGCCTGTAGTTTCAGCTACTTGGGAGACTGAGGCAGGAGAGTCACCTGAACCCAGGAGGGAGAGGTTGCAGTGAACCGAGATTGTACCACTGCATTTCAGCCTGGTGACAGAGCAAGACTCTGTCTCAGAAAAAAAGAAAGAAGAAAAGCAAAATTCTTAGTGAAAATCATAGGTGTTTCTTAGAAGAGAGAATTAAATATTGTCAAGGGAAGACCAAGTCTCATAGTTCTCTTGCATATTCCAAAGTTTCAGGGAAATTCCAGGTAACAGAGGTTATTTCCCATGCTGTTAAAGCAAGGTTGCAGACACTAATGAATTCTGGGCCCAATACTCTAGGAGGGCACACCTCTGTCCTGGAAAATGATACGGGAACGAATACTTTTCCTGTGACTCATTCTGGTTATTTATCGAGGATCACATAAACTAAACAATGGAAATATGGCCAAATTCATGATTTGCTGACCCTCTTCTTCAGGTTTCTTACCTGACTCTTAGGATAACAGCATTACCTTGAAGCATATGATGAAGATATGCTGTCCAAATATGTACACAGTTTTGAGCAAAATGCCTGATACAAATTGGTCAACAAACAGTTACTGGATGATGATATGAATATTTACTGAATGACATGGATCCTATGAATAACTGTGGAATAGTTGTTGTGATTGCTTTTATTAGCAGTCCTCAAAACTCATCTCTGTGTGACCTTGCAGGTAAGCCATATAACTGTGAACCTGCAGCTTCATCAGTTTTAAAATGAAGGAACCTGACAGCTTTTCATTCTGCCCCATAATGTCAGGCCTCCCAGACACCAGAACATACATTTACTTAGTGCCTTTGATATATCTCCATGCAGCATCCCTACAGGTAGTTGGAGGATGGTGGGGGCTGCAGAGAGGCACGCTTTCCAATGGGATTGAGGCAGTCCTTCTCCCTTGACTTCCACATGAATGCTGCGCATCTCGGGGTCACACCCATTGCACCCTCAACTCAGGCAAGCCCAGCAGCCAAACATAGGAGACTTGGGCTACAGAACAGTCTCCCAAATCCCAAGCTTACAAAAGCTAGGTGGAGATGACGGCTGAGAAAGTGAGGGGGTGGTTCAGGGGATCACTCTTCCCTACTCGTTCCTCTCATCTCAAATTCACTTTCCGTTGCGCAGCAACACTGAGGACCACCAACCACCCCTGACCATCACCTTGATCTTGCCATGTTTGGTTAGTGGGAAACACTAACACATCAATGGTGTTAGACCAACTCAGAAAAATATCTATCAAACAGTGTTTTGTAAGAATCGCTCATGGCCCTGTTATTTTTAACATATGGAAAAAATGAAATGAAAACAAAATCGTATCAGGTTTCCACAACTTCCCAAGATAGATGGTCACACATGCTTTCAGGAGATCTCTATAGAAATGGTTTCAATGATGCAACACCTTGAAAAGAGCTCATCTGGGACTAGAATGACATCTATAAGTGACAAGTATGAGATGCAGTGTTCAGTCACATTAAAAAACAAATCATCCCACGTAGAGGAAGCTTTGGATATAGGGACATCACACTGGTCTTAATTGTAATGAAAAGCCTCTTTTGTTACAAATATCAGTGTACTGGTACCTGCCAGTAAGAAAAACTAAATCAGCATAACCATGAGATGCAGCAAGAAGAATATTGAGCCAGGAAAGAAAACATTTTTAACAAATGAATTACTCATTAACTTTCTAGTGGATACAGAAAAAACTGCAGACAACTCAGAGGGTATCATGGCAGTGTAATAGATTGATATGTTAAACTTGTGGAAAAGCCTTAAATATTGTTTTAACGTTAGGATTCACATGTTTAGCATGACTGACTTCATGACTACCATTAAGAAAGTATCACGTGTTGGGAAACTGTTTCTGCATTGATTTTATACACATAAGAGATGGAAAATGAGGCACATGCTTACATGTATTGGGAATGGGATGGGACTGTGGCATTGTCACAATGGTACACAAATACTGAGACTGACTTATAGAGTAATGGTCCCCATCTGTTGTGACCTGTGTTGAAAACACAGGTGAGACTAGGAGGCCTATGTTTTAGCAAAACCTGGGCAGTTGGATTGAAGGGCTCCTAAGATTCCATGACACACCCAGCTTTTAATTCTGTTATTGCAACAGCAGACGGTTACCTGGGACACTGGCCGCTATCTCTCACACTCTTGTCAGAGTCTGAGCTACAGGCACTTTCTTCAGTTCTCACTCAGCTCAAGCATTTTCAACCTTGTTTTTGCGGTTAAGGACCCTAAAGTGCTATTAGGAGGGATCAAGTTTTTCTCAACAGTAAGTTAATTTGAGTTCCTGACATCCCCCAGTCCTGATGAAACCTATTTGATTTCCAGTTTTTAACCCATCATGTGTTTGGGTTTCTTCTTAGTCCCTGGCCCTACCTGTGGTGCCCCAAATGTCAGCATGATAGCATCTGGCAGGACGTGTTCCAGGAAGACCACAGAGGCAAACTTTCCAGATACCATCGAGAATTCCTACTCCCAGCAGGAAGAGACCAAACCAAATATCGGAGCCAGCAGAAATAGACTTCTTCTGAGTCAGGTGGCCTACTTCCTGAACTACCAGCTGAAGACCTACAGTAAGTTCTATAGGTTGACCACCATGAAGGTGATGAAGGATGTCCGGTCTTGTCTCAGGAAACTAACCGTTTCCTTAATCAAAATTAATTTCATCCTTCCCATACTTGTGGAAACGAGCAGTGGGCATTTTAACATTTATTTAAAGATGGAAGACAGTAGCGAAAGTATTTAGCAACTTTTCTACATCTGCTGTAAGGTAGGTGTGAGACGGGTTAAAATCCCAGTATTGATTACTGACACAGGCACAGAACCACCTGTTTTCTCAGCAAAAGGCTAAATCATGTTTACAGGAGTCTTCTCTGTACCATATAAGATCCTACATACAAGTAGCATCTAGTCTGTTGGCCAAAATGTCTGAGGTTATTGAACTTCCATTTGGTTTTTGTTTCTGCTGTGGCACAGTAGGCAAAGCTGTATTCTGGGAACACTGGGGGAAACACAGTGATAGCGCACAGTACCCACTATGAGGACCTGCAACGGGACCCTGCTCCTAATAGAACCTGTGGTATCTGTAAGTGGCACCATCAAGGGCAGGGAGTACCCTACTACTGGTGCCTCAGCCTACCAATCAGCTGTGATCTCCGATGGGCACCAGCACACCTGGATAATTTTTGTATATTTAGTAGAGGTAGGGTTTCACCATGTTGGCCAGGCTGGTCTTGAACTCTTGAGGTCAAGTGATCTGCTCTTCTGGGCCTCCTAAAGTGCTGGGATTCCAGGCATGAGCCACCATGCCTGCTCCACAGATTCTTTTTTCAGTAGAGATTGTTAGAATCCCTTGGTCCAGTCTCCTATATAAATTTTTCTAACAATTCATTGGCAATGATATATGATCAGATAAATCAGTATTGAAACAATGCTTCTGGAAAGTTTTAGGGCAATTTTTGAAGATTTTGGGGACAAAGTTTTAATTTTTTGCACTGACTTAGGTCAGATGATGTGACTAAGATCTATCAGATGAAGGAGATTTTGTCCCATGGATCTGAAAAGCAGGCTCATCTACTTCTAGGGCGACTTAACCTAGGGACCAGTAGAACATTCTTGTCAGAATATCACATTCTTACCCTGAGAATATTTTACATTTTTGTGCTATGACCGAACACTGATTTGGTCTTGTATGAAGTGTGATTTGCTTAATGTGACCTGCTCTTCTGAATTTGTTTACAGGAGATCAAAAAGATCACAATGAAGAACAGAAATGCAGAGAGAGCAAAAATAAACTTCTTATGAGTCAAGTAGCCTACTACCTGGGCTGCCGGCTGAAGATGGAAGGTAAGTTCTCTAGGTTCAGCATCACGAAAGTGATGAACAGTGTCCTGCCTTGTCTCTGAGAAATGATGCACTCTCTTCAAATTTTATCCTACCTATACTTGTAGGAAAATAGCAAAGTGTACTTTAACATTTTGTTAAAGATGGAAGACAGAGGCCAAAGTATTTAGCATTTCCACATCGTCAGTAAGGCAGATGTGGGACTAGTGTTAATATCTCAGCAATTGATTCCTGACACAGGCACAGAACCACCTGTATTTCTCAGCAAGAGGCTAAATCATGTTTACAGGAATCCTTCTAACATAGACGATCCTGCAGAACTCGTAAGTAAGATAAAGGTGGAAGAGTTTATTTCCTGGTTTCAAGGTGACTGAGTAGCTAAGACAAGTTGACTTTAAAGAGATTGAGAGGAGATAGGAAGAGTAAAACCAGGGAAAGAACATCTTCAAATCAATAGGCAAGGCTGTCAGTGACATCACTTAGTTTCGATTAAACCAATTTGACGTCACCAGTTTCTAACTCATCGTGTGTTTGGGTTTCTTTTCCCCAGTCCCTGGCTATCTGTGTTCTGCCCCAAATGTCAGCACGGTGACATCTGGCAAGCCTCCTTCCAGAAAAAACACAGAAGTGAACATTCCAGAAGACATTGAGAAATCCTGCTCCCAGCAAGAAGAAAACAAAGCAAATTTCAGAGCCAGCAAAAATAGACTTCTTCTGAGTCAGGTGGCCTACTTCCTGAACTACCAGCTGAAGACCTACAGTAAGTTCTATAGGTTCACCGCAACGAAAGTGATGATGTCCTGTGTTGTCTTGAGAAACCGATATCTTCATCAAAATTAATTTCATCCTTCCCATACTTGCAGAAAATAGAAATGGGTATCTTAATATTTTGTTAAAGATGGAAGACAGAGGCCAAAGTGTTTAGCAACTTTTCCACCTCTACAGAAAGGTGGGTGTGGGACTGGGGTTACAATCCCTGCTATTGATCTCTGACACAGGCACAGAACCACCTGTTTTTCTCAGCAAGTGGCTAAATCCATGTTCACAGGAATTCTCTATGTACCATATAAGGTTCTCCAGACAAGTAGCATCTAGTCTGTTGGTCTAAATGTCTGAGGCTACTGAACTTTTATTCCGTTCTGGATTCTGCTGAGGCCCAGAAGGCAAAGCTGTGTTTTGGGGACACTGGGGGAAACACGGTGATGGCACACAGTACCATCTGTTGGAAACTTAAGGGAGACCCTGCTCCTAATAGAACTTGTGGTATCTGTAAGTGGCTCCATCAAGAGCAGGGAATACCCTGGTACTGGTGCTGCAGCCTCCCAATCAGCTGGGATCCCCGGTGGGAACCACCACAGTTGACTAACTTTTGTATTTTCAGTAGAGGCAGGGTTTCACCATGTTGGCTAGACTGGTCTTGAACTCCTGAGGTCAAGGGATCTGCCCTCCTGGGCCTCTTAAATTGCTGGAATTCCAGACGTGAGCCCCCCATACTGGCTCCACAGATTGATTTTTCAGTAAAGGTTGTTACAATTCACCTCTTGGTCCAGTCTCCTATATAAATTTCTCTAACCATTCATTCACCATGATATATGATTAGATAAATCAATTTTGCAGCAATGCTTCTGGAAAGTAGAGCAATTTTTGGAAGATTTTGGGGAAAAAGTTTTAATTTTTTGCATGATTAAGGTCTACCGGATGAGGGAGATTTTATCCCATGGATCAAAAGCAGACTCATCTACTTCTAGGGCAACTTAGTCTAGGGCTTGTTAGACATTCCTGTCAGAATACCACATTCTTACACTGAGAATATTTTACATCCTTGTGCTATGAGTGGACACTGATTTGGTCTTGTGTGAAGTGTGATTTGCTTAATGTGACCTGCTCTTCTGAATTTGTTTACAGAAGATCGAAAAGATCACGAAGAAGAACAGAAATGCAGAGACAGCAAAAATAAACTTCTTATGAGTCAAGTGGCCTACTACCTGGGCTGCCGGCTGAAGACAGAAGGTAGGTTCTCTAGGTTCACCATCATGAAAGTGATGAACAGTGTCCTGTTTTGTCTCTAAGAAACAATACACTGTCTTCTTCAAAGTTAATTCCATCCTGCCCATACTTGTAGGAAAGTAGCAATGGGTATTTTAACATTTTGTTAAAGATGGAAGACCATCTTTAACAAAAGCTGCCAAAGTATTTAGCAGCTTTTCCACATCTATAGTAAGGCAGGTGTGGGACTAGTGTTAATATCCCAGCTATTGATTCCAGACACAGAGACAGAACCACCTGTTTTCTCAGCAAGAGGCTAAATCATGTTTACAGGAATCCTCTCTACGAAGATCCTGGAAAACGTATAAGCAAGATAAAGGTAGAAGTGTTTGTTTCATAGTTTCAAGGTCACTGAGTAGCTAAGACAAGTTGAATTTAAGGAGATCAAGAGGGTAGGTGAGAAGAGTAAAAGCGGGGGACCAACATCTTCAAATCAATAGGCACTACTGTCAGTGACATCCCTCAGTTCTGATTAAACCAATTTGACGTCACCAGTTTCTAACCCCATCATGTGTTTGGGTTTCTTCTCCCCAGTCCCTGGCTATCTGTGTTCTGCCCCAAATGTCAGCATGGTGGCATCTGAAAGGCCTCCTTCAAGAAAAAACACAGAGGTGAACATTGTAGAAGACATTGAGATGTCCTGCTTTGAACAGGAAGAAAACAAACCGACTTTCAGAGCCAGCAAAAATAGGCTTCTTATGAGTCAGGTGGCCTACTTTCTGAACTATTGGCTGAAGACATACAGTAAGTTCTATAGGTTCACCCCCATGAAATTGATGAATAATGTCCTGTCTTGTTTTGAGAAACTAAGCTCTTTCTTTATCAACATTAATTTCATCCTTCCCATAGTTTTAGAAAGTAGAAATGGTTATTTTAATATTTTGTTAAATATAGAAGACAGAGGCCAAAGTATCTAGCAACTTTTCCACGTCTACATTAACATGGGTGTGGGACTGGGGTTACAATCCCTGCTATTGATCTCTGACACAGGCACAGAACCACCTGTTTTTTTCAGCAAGTGGCTAAATCATGTTTACAGGAATCCTTTCTGTACCATATAAGATCCTGCACGCAAGTAGCATCTAGTCTCTTGGTCTCCATATCTGAGGCTACTGAACTTCCATTTGGTTCCAGTTTCTGCTTAGGCCCAGTAGGCAAAGCTGTGTTCTGGGAACACTGGGGGAAACACAGTGATAGCACACAGTACCTCCTGTGAGGAGCTTGAGGATTACACCTGCTTCTAATAGAACCTGTGGTATCTTTAAGTGGAACGCACCATCAAGAGCAGGGAGTACCCTGCTACTGGTGCCTCAGCCTTTTTATTAGCTGGGATCCCTGGTGGGCACCAAAGCACTTGGCTTATTTTTGTATTTTTAGTAGAGGCGGGTTTTCACCATGTTTGCCAGGCTGGTCTTGAACTCTTGAGGTCAAGTGATCTGCCCTTCTGCATTTTCTAAAACGCTGGAATTTCAGGCATGAGACACTGGGCTGGCTCCACAGATTCTTTTTTAAGTAAAGGTTGTTAGAATTCATGGCTTAGTCCAGTCTCCTATATAAATTTGTCTTAAGTATTCATTGACCATGATATATGCTGAGATAAATCGGTATTGCTGCAATGCTTCTGGAAAGCAGTTATTGCAATTTTTGAAGATTTTGGGGAAAAAAAGTTTTAATTATTTTCACTGACTTAGGTCAGAGGATATGTGATAAAGATTAACCGGATGAGGGAGATTATGTCCCATGGATCTGAAAAGCAGGCTCATCTATTTCTGAGGCCACTTAATCTAGGGACCAGTAGAACATTCCTGTCAGAATATCACATTCTTAAACTGAGAATATTTTACGTCCTCGTGCTATGACTGACACTTATTTAGTCTTGTGTGAAGTGTGATTTGCTTAATGTGTCCTGCTCTTCTGAATTTGTTTACAGAAGATCAAAAAGATCACGATGAAGAACAGAAATGCAGAGACAGCAAAAATAAACTTCTTATGAGTCAAGTGGCCTACTACCTGGGCTGCCGGCTGAAGACGGAAGGTAAGTTCTCTAGGTTCACTGTCACGAAAGTGCTGAACAGTGTCCTGTCTTCTTTCTGAGAAATGATGCACTCTCTTCTTCAAAGTTAATTTCATCTGTCCCATACTTCTAGGAAAATAGCAATGGGTATTTTAACATTTTGTTAAAGATGGAAGACAGAGGCCAAAGCATTTAGCAACTTTTCCATGTCTGCAGTAAGGTGGGTGTGGGACTAGGGTTAATAATCCAGCTATTGATTCCAGACACAGGGACAGAACCACCTGTTTTTCTCAGCAAGAGGCTAAATCATGTTTACATGAATCCTCTCTGTACCATATAAGATCCTGCAGAACTCATAAGCAAGATAAAGGTGGAAGGGTTTATGTCCTGGCTTCAAGGTGACTGAGTAGCTAAGACAAGTTGACTAAGGAGATCAAGAGTGGAGATGAGAAGAGTAAAAGCGGGGAAAAAACATCTTCAAATCGATAGGCAGTGCTGTCAGTGACATCCCTCAGTTCCAATTAAACAAATTTGAAGTCACCAGTTTCTTTTTTTTTTTTTTTTAATTTTTTATTGGATTTTAGGTTTTGGGGTACATGAGCAGAGCATGCAAGACAGTTCGTAGGTACACACATGGCAGTGTGCTTTGCTTTCCTTCTCCCCTTCACCCACATTTGGCATTTCTCCCCAGGCTATCCCTCCCCACCTCCCCCTCCCACTGGCCATCCCCTTTTCCCCCCAATAGACCCCAGTGTTTAGTACTCCCCTTTCTGTGTCCATGTGTTCTCATTTTTCATCACCCGCCTATGAGTGAGAATATGCGGTGTTTCATTTTCTGTTCTTGTGTCAGTTTGCTGAGGATGATGTTCTCCAGATTCATCCATGTCCCTACAAACGACACAAACTCATCATTTCTGATTGCTGCATAATATTCCATAATGTATATGTGCCACATTTTTCCAATCCAGTCTATTATCAGTGGGCATTTTGGTTGATTCCAGGTCTTTGCTATTGTAAACAGTGCTGCAATGAACATTCGTGTACATGTGTCCTTATAGTAGAATGATTTATAGTCTTTTGGATAAATACCCAGTAATGGGATTGCTGGGTCAAACGGAATTTCTATTTCTAAGGCCTTGAGGAATCGCCACACTGTCTTCCACAATGGTTGAACTAATTTACACTCCCACCAACAGTGTAAAAGTGTTGCTTTTTCTCCACATCCTCTCCAGCATCTGTTGTCTCCAGATTTTTTAATGATCGCCATTCTAACTGGCGTGAGATGGTATCTCAATGTGGTTTTGATTTGCATCTCTCTGATGACCAGTGACGATGAGCATTTTTTCATATGATTGTTGGCCTCATATATGTCTTCTTTCGTAAAGTGTCTGTTCATATCCTTTGCCCACTTTTGAATGGGCTTGTTTGTTTTTTTCCTGTAAATCTGTTTGAGTTCTTTGTAAATTCTGGATATCAGCCCTTTGTCAGATGGGTAAACTGCGAAAATTTTTTCCCATTCTGTTGGTTGCCGATTCACTCTAGTGACAGTTTCTTTTGCCATGCAGAAGTTGTGGAGTTTCATTAGGTCCCATTTGTCTATTTTGGCTTTTGTTGCCAATGCTTTTGGTGTTTTAGTCATGAAGTCCTTGCCTACTCCTATGTCCTGGATAGTTTTGCCTAGATTTCCTTCTAGGGTTTTTATGGTGCCAGGTCTTATGTTTAAGTCTTTAATCCATCTGGAGTTAATTTTAGTGTAAGGTGTCAGGAAGGGGTCCAGTTTCTGCTTTCTGCACATGGCTAGCCAGTTTTCCCAACACCATTTGTTAAACAGGGAATCCTTTCCCCATTGCTTGTTTTTGTCAGGTTTATCAAAGATTATATAGTTATAGATATGTTGTGTTGCCTCCGGTGCCTCTGTTTTGTTCCATTGGTCTATATCTCTGTTTTTGTACCAGTACCATGCTGTTTTGATTACTGTAGCCTTGTAGTATAGTTTGAAATCCGGTAGTGTGATGCCCCCCACTATGTTCTTTGTGCTTAGAATTGACTTGGCTATGCGGGCTCTCTTTTGGTTCCATATGAAGTTCATGGTGGTTTTTTCCAGTTCTGTGAAGAAAGTCAATGGTAGCTTGATGGGGATAGCATTGATTCTGTAAATTACTTTGGGCAGTATAGCCATTTTCATGATATTAATTCTTCCTAACCATGAACATGGAATGTTTCTCCATCTGTTTGTGTCCTCTCTGATTTCGTTGAGCAGTGGTTTGTAGTTCTCCTTGAAGAGGTCCCTTACGTTCCTTGTGAGTTGTATTCCAAGGTATTTTATTCTTTTTGTAGCAATCGTGAATGGCAGTTCGTTCTTGATTTGGCTTTAAGTCTGTTATTGGTGTAGACGAATGCTTGTGATTTTTTCACATTGATTTTATATCCTGAGACTTTGCTGAAGTTGCTTATCCATAGTTTCTAATGCATCCTGTGTTTGGGTTTCTTTTCCTCAGTCCCTGGCTTTCTGTGTTCTGCTCGAAACATCAGCAAGGTGGCATCTGGCAGGTCTCCTTCCAGAAAAAACACAGAGTTGAACATTCTGGAAGGCATTGATAAATTCTGGTCCCAGCAGGAAGATAACAAATCTAGTATCGGAGGCAGCAAAAATAGACTTCTTATGAGTCAGGTGGACTACTCCCTCAACTATCGGCTGAAGACATGCAGTAAGTTCTATAGGTTGACCACCATGAAAGTTATGAATGATGTCCTGTCTTGTCTCGAGAAACTAACCGCTCTCTTCATCAAAATTAATTTCATGCTTCCCATTTTTGTAGAAAATAGCAATGGGTATTTTTAACATTTAGTTAAAATTGAAGACAGATGCCAAAATATTTAGCAACATTTCCACATCTGCCGTAAGCTGGGTGTGGGACTGTGTGACTGGGGGACTGGGGTTAACAATCACAGCTATTGATTCCTGACCCAGGCACAGAACCACCTGTTTTTCTCAGCAAGATGCTAAATCCATGTTTACAGGAATCCTCTCTTTACCATGTAAGATTTTACAGACAAGTAGCATCTAGTCTGCTAGTCTAAATGTCTGAGGCTACTGAACTTCATGCAGTTCCGGTTTCTGATAAAGGTCCAGTAGGCAACGCTGTGTTCTGGGGACCTGGGGGAAACACGGTGACAGGAGACAGTACCCACTGTGAGGAGCTTAAAGGGGACCCTGCTCCTAATAGAACCTGTGCTATCTGTAAGTGGCACCATCAAGAGCAGGGAGTACTGTGGTACTGGTGCCTTAGCCAGCCAATTAGCTGGGATCCCCGGTGGGCACCACCACACCTGGCTAATTTTTGTGTTTTATGTAGAGGTAAGGTTTCACCACGTTGGTCAGGCTGGTCTTGAACTCCTGAGGTCAGGTGATTTGCGTGCCTCGCCTCCTAAGTTGCTTGGATTCCAGGTGTGAGCCACCATGCTGGCTCCACAGATTCTTTTTCAGTAAAGGTTGTAAAATTTATCCGTCGGTCTGGTCTCCTATATAAATTTCTCTAACCATTTATTGGCCATGATATATGATGAAATAATTAGTATTGTGACAACTCTTCTGGAAAGTAGTTAGGGCAATTTTTGTAGGTTTTTGGGGAAAAAGTTTTAACTGTTTGCACTGACTTAGGTCAGAGGACACATGATTAATATCTACGAGATGAGAGAGGTTTTGTCCCGTGGGTCTGAAAAGCAGGCTCATCTACATCTGAGGTGACTTAATCTAGGGCCCGATAGAACATTGCAGTCAGAAAATCACATTTATACACTGAGAATATTTTATGTTGTTGTGCTATATGACTGGACACTGATTTGGTCTTGTGTGAAGTGTGATGTGTTCAATGTGACCTGCTCTTCTGAATTTGTTTACAGAAGATCGACAAGATCATGAAATACAGAAATACAGAGAAAGCAAAAATAACCTTCTTATGAGGCAAGCGGCCTACTACCTGCGCTGCCAGCTGAAGACCAAAGGTAAGTAAGTTCTATAGGTTCACCATCATCATGAAAGTGCTGAACGATCTTCTGTCTTTTCTGTGAGAAACTGAACACTCTCTTCTTCAGAATTTATTAAATTTTTCCCATACTTCTAGGCAAATATAAATGGGTACCTTAGCATTTTGTTAAAAATGGATCCGTCAGTCCAGTCTCCTCTGTAAATTTCTCTAACCGTTTACTGACCATCACATATGATGAGATAAATCAGTATTGCTGCAATGTTGTCCTGCAGACAAGTAGCCTCTAGTCTGTTGTTCTAAATGTCTGAGGCTGCTGAACTTCCATTCGGTTCCGATTTCTGCTGAGGCCCAGTAGGCAAAGCAGTGTTCTGGGGACACTGGGGTAAACACAGTGATTACACACAGTACCTGTTGTGGGGAACTTAAAGAGGACTTTGCTCCTTACACGACCTGTGGTATCGGTAAGTGGCACCATCAAGAGCAGGGAGTACCCTTGTATTCATGACTCAGCCTGTTAGTTAGCTGGGATCCCTGGTGGACTAGTTTTTGTATTTTTAGTAGAGGTGGGGTTTCACCATGTTGGCCAGGCTGGTGTTGACTTCCTGAGGTCAAGTGATCTTTCTTCTTGGGCCTCCTAAATTGCTCTGAATCCAGGCATGAGTCACTGTGCTGGCGGCACAGATTCTTTTTTATGTAAAGCTTGTTATAATTCATCCGTCAGTCCATTCTCCTCTGTAAATTTCTCTAAGCATTTGTTGACCATCACATATAACTAGATAAATCAGTATTACTGCAGTGCTTCTGGAAAATAGGGCAATGTTTAAAGATTTTGGGGGAAAACTTTTAATTGCACTGACTTAGGTTAGAGGATAAGTGATTAAGATCTAGCAGATGAGATTTTGTCCCATGGATCTGAAAAGCAGGCTCATCTACTTCTGGGGTGACCTAATCTAGGGACCAGTAGAACATTCCCTTCAGAATATCACATTCTGAAACGGAGAATATTTTTCATCCTTGTGCTATGACTAGACACTGATTTGGTCTTGTGTGAAGTGCGATTTGCTTAATGTGACCTTCTCTTCTGAATTTGTTTACAGAAGATCGGAGACGTCACGAGGAAGAACAGAAATACAGAGACAGCAAAAATAAACTTCTTATGAGTCAAGACTACCCGGGCTGCAGGCTGAAGACGGAAAGTAAGTTTCATAGGTTCACCGTCACCAAAGTGCTGAACAATGTTCTGTTTCCTGTCAGAAACTAAAGGCTCTCTTCATCAGAATTAATTTCATTTTTACCATACATCTAGGAAAATATAAATGGTATTTTAACATTTTGTTAAAGGTGGACGAGAGAGGCCAAAGTATGTAGCAACTTTTCCACATCTGCAGTAAGGCAGGTGTGGGACTGAGGTTTACCCTCAGTCTCAGCTGTTGATTTCTGACACAGGCACAGAACCACCCGTTTTTCTCAGGAAGAGGCTAAATCATGTTCACAGGAAACCTCTCTGTACCACCTAAGATCCCGCAGACAAGTAGCATCTAGTCTGTTGTTCTAAATGTTTGAGGCTGCTGAACTTCATTCGGTTCCAGTTTCTGCTGAGACTCAGTAGGGAAAGCTCTATTCTGGGGGACATGCGATGGTAGCACACTATACTTGCTATGGGAAGCTTAAAGAGGACTCTGCTCCTTCCATAGATTCTTTTTTATTTTTGTTTTGTCTTTTTTATTCAGTCTCCCTAGAGACTGTCAAAAATTGTCAATGCCAACTCTATTGCATGTCACCAGGGCGGGGTATTGGGAAAAGTTTTCAATGAGCAATAATCTCATCTCAGATAAAACTCATTCACTATGATACTGGCCCTGAGCAAAGCTCACAGACTGTTTTTAAAGCAAGTGCTGTTAGAATTTACATATCAGTCCAGTTTCATGTATAGATGCCTCTAACCATTCAGTGACCTTGGTATCTGGTGAGATAAGTCAGTATTGCAGCAACACTCCCAGAAAATAGTCTGACTCATCTTTGGAGATTTTTCTGGGAAAAAAATTGGTTTAACTTTGCATAGACTCAGGCAGAGCATGTGGCATTATGGTCTACCTGTAGAGGGAGATTTTGGCCTGTGTGTCTGGAAAGCAGGCTCATCTGCTCACCAGGCTTCATCTAGGGCACCCTGGAATAGTCCTGTCAGAATTTGTATTCTTGCCCTGAGAACATTTCTGTGCTTATGCTATGACTAAACACTGGTTTGGTCATACGTGAAGTGCGATTTGCTTAATGTGACCTGCGTCTCTGAATTTATTTACAGAAAGTCAAAGTGATGATGAGGAAGAGGAAGAAAAAGGGCCAGTGTCCACCAGGTAATGCTGTGGAGTTGTGGGCTGTTAGTTCAGTAGTGACACCTAGAGACTGCAGATCCAGGGAAAACGAGGAAGTGATGACCGGGACACTTTCTTTCGTTCACCCAGCTCCAAATTGTCCTTATCGACAATGTTGTGGGTGATTTGTAGCACTTGTATAGGTTTTAATTTCTCACTCCTCCCAAGATGGAAACCTGTAATCAGATGAGCCAGGTGAACTCAGCAAACAGGAATTTTCTGGTTTCGCCTGTTCTCTCCACAATGTTTAAACCCAGGGAGTTTCTGGCTTTCTGCCCATTTGTTTTGAGCATGTTTGCTAGGATTTGTGAAGAGAAGAAATTCAAAGCATAGACATATATCAAAATACTGGAAAAAGTATTAATTAATACACCAGATCTGGGTGTCTGAAGTGCCTCAAGAGCTCTGTCCACTTGAATGCCGCATGTAAAATTCAACACAACTTATGCGAGGCAGTTGAAGCCCCATGTTAGTTCTCATGATGCAAGTGGTGATGAGAGTTTACAGGGAGAGTCTGGGTGGCCTGCAGTGGCTCATCTGTGGCAAATGCACTGAGCACATGCTGCTCATTTGTGCTGTTTCCAGGGTAGTCACCCTTTACCCTGCATTTAGAAGGCATAGTTTTTTTTTCTCTTGAAGGAAAAATGCCTTTGCTTTCAGTGACCACTCACTCCACTCTGAGTTCCATCAGATCAGCTGGGAGACTTTGTTCTCTAATCTGTGTTGGTTTAATCTTCTGTCATCCCTGTCCTGCCTGGCTCATCAGGAATCTGCAGGAGTCTGTGGAGGAGGAAGCCCCCCAGGAGTCCTGGGATGAAGATTATTCGACTCTCTCAATTCCTCCTGGCACATTTGCCTTCAATGAGCCTTACAGGACCAACCTGCACTCATTAGAGGAACAGCAGGTCAACTTGGCTCATGACATAGACAGTGAGTACTCTGTTGTGAAAGTGGTAAAGCTCCACTTTGTGTCCCAGATAGACCCCATAGTCTTTGTGCATTGCTCCCCAGGCTGGGCTGAGAGTTGTCATCACTGTGGGCTGAACCTATCCATCAGTGCAGATTTCAATCACTCCGGATTCCAGTCTGAAGCATGGGCATGGGGTGGGTCAGTGAGCTTTGCTCTCTCTCTAGTCTCAGTCCATGCCTGTGGCACCCTGGACCAACTGTCAGGACATTGGAACCCAAGGCAGGTGTTGCAAACTCACACCAAGCTATGCAGCACATGCCCACGAGTTGTCTGTGAATCTGAATTAAACGTCTCTTGCCAGCTAACAAGTTCCTCATGAGTTTTGTTCCCCAGGCATGTCTGTGAGGTTCTTTCCTGTTTGTACAAACTTGGTATAACTGTTTGTACAAACTTGGGATAAAGGGATAATGGTCTACCAGAATAGGGACGTTTCACCATTGGTTCTGAGACACAAACCAAGGAATCTCTATCATGATTGGCCTTGAGACCTCCTGAAGTCTCTCTCTCATGTTATCCTGTTCTCAAGCTGAGGAGTCTGAGGTCCCCGTGCAGGGATTAGACAGTGGACTGTTACGGGTGTAGGGCGATGGCTAACTTTTATCTGTCCCTATTCGAATTTATTGCAGAGATTGAAAAGGACCAAGAAGAGGAAGAAGACCAAGGCCCACTGTGCCCCAGGTAACTTTGAGCAACTGTGAACAGCTAATTTTGTGTTGACACCTGGAGACGCCAGGTCCAGGGAAAACAGAGTGGGCTGACAATATCGATACCATCTTTTCAACAAATCCTGAAGTATTTCTACAAACATCGCTGTTGGTTTTCATTGCAATAGATATTTAGGTTTCCGTTTCTTCCTCCCCTTACCATTTACTAACTGCTGTAGGTTGACCATACTTGTTTTTATGATCAGTGTACGCTGTGTGTCCTGAGGGTACTAACTCAGAGTGTCCTTTTACTCCCTCATCAGTGTGTCACCTGGACGGTTTACTGAGCTTACTCTCTCTTTCTCCCTCCCCTTCCTTTCATTCTTTTCTACCCTACTCTTGTCCATCCCAGCATAAGGCAATAGTTTGTTACGTCATTAGTGGATCTATGTGTTTTCTTTATCATTTACTTGTGCTACCCATGAAATCTAGTTGGGGCTCTGCGGTGTCTTATTTTCCTTGACTTATTCTTTGGTTTTTCCTCCTTTGTTAGGCTCAGCATGGAGCTGGTGGAAGCAGAAGAGCCTGAAGTCTTCTGGTACTCACTGGATATATTGTATTCAACATATACAGCTTATCTTGAGTTTTATTACACATGCCAGGCTTACACATATGCCGTTTTTTTATATGCAGAAGAGCATGTTCGCTTGACTTTGGACATGGACAGCAGGTTTTTTACTCTGACGGTGGTAGGACTCCACCTGGTCTCCCGGATAGGGGTCATATTCCCACACTAAGACAACGTGTCACACGGGACTCTGCCAGTGCAGAGTATGAACCACGCCATGTTCTTGCTGAAAACGCTTAGCCCGAGTTTCATAGCCTGAGGTAATCTCCAGACGACTTCAGAATGTAGAACAGTGAGCGGCACAACTGACCTGTCTCCTTCAGACAGCCCATGTCACCACAAATCACACAACTGAAAGGAGAAGAGATGTTTTGGTTTGAAAAAGAGTAAAAAGATAATGTAGCTACATTTCTTTAGTTCTTTTGAACCCAAAGTGCCTCCTCACCTTTTTGTTGTTGTCGTTGATGGTGGGGACATGGGCTTGTTTGTAGAGGACAGGTCAGCTGTCTGGCTCAATGGTCTGTACTCTGAAGTTGTCTGAAAATGTCCTCATGCTTAAATTCAGCCTAAATGTTTTTCCGGGAACACTGCAGGGTCAATGCTACCTCACCCATCTGCAGGTAGAGAAGGTCCCGTGTGTCTACCACCATGATTGTGATACCAGGACTTTTCCACCATTTGTCTATCACCATGATCGTGATGCCAGATCTGTACCTTTAAGAGACACCTTATTTATATGGATATATATATTTATTCAGAGACACCTTATTTATACAGATATTTATACAGAACTAATTGGAAAAGTGGTTTTTAAAAGTATTAACATTCTGTATTCAAACGATCATCTCTCAACATTTTGTAATTCATTTATCATCCCTGGCTGTGTCAACTATTATATTTACATCTCTACACTGGAAATTTTCTATTTTTACTGTATTTTTGCTTTTGCTAGTTTCTGTTGTTCAAAGAAAAAAATTCCCTACCTGCATATCAATTTTTATCAAAGTTAATTTTAATCTATACAATGAAAATGTTTTTCTTCAAGATAAGACTGTCAGCACATAAGGCCACAGCAAAACAGAGCCTTTGTTTGCTAATTTTTAAGCCTTCGTCAATTTCTGGCTGAGGAGAGAGGTAGTTTATTTAATTAGCTGCTAATATCTATTTAAGTGAGCAGCCAGAGAAAGTCTTATCAGACTAAGGATATGCAAAGCCCAGGCCATTGTCTTTGAGTCTTTTAAACTGTTTCAGAAGAGAAGGGAATAGGCAGATTCCACATATGTGGACAGGAAGGAGAATACACTAAAAGACTCAAACAACCATTGCCCAAAACAGAATAGAAAGTCCATTAAAATTCATGAAATAGTTTCTCATGAAATGTAATCTCTCTAAACTTAGCCATTATATGAAAGTCAGTTCTTAATATACCACACTACATTGACTGTTGACTTTCATAAGAATTCATTTCCATGTTTGTTATTTGAAAAAGCAAAAGGACTGTAATCCTTTCTTTTCTTTGCCATGATCATTTTAAGATTGAGGATTTTTTTCCAAAATAAAATTAAAGATTGAAAATTGACGTTAAAATTTATCTTCTCAAAGTAATGATGTGTAACGCAGGCTGTGTCATTCCTGTTTGCAGTATAAGTGTCAAGTGCTCATTTAACCATTCTTTAAATGTTTCAAATTACTGGGAACAAGCCATGTTCCAGGGTGTATCTTCTTTTGTTTTTGTTTTGTTTTTTTCTTTATTTTACTTTTAAGTTCTGGGATACATGTAGAAATCTTGCAGGGTTGTTACACAGATATACACATGCCATTTTGATTTGCTGCCTCCACTCTCACCCCGGTCACCTACATTAGGTATTTCTTTTAATGCTATCCCTCCCCAATCTCCCCACCTTTGCTATACCTTCTCTAGCTCCCTCCTGCCTGACAGGCTTCAGTGTGTGATGTTCCCCTCTCTGTCTATGTGTTCTCATTGTTCAACACCTACTTATGAGTGAGAACATGGCGGTGTTTGCTTTTCTGTTCCTGTGTCAGTGTGCTGAGAATGATGGTTTCCAGTTTCATCCATGTCCCTTTAAGGACATGAACTCATCATTTTTTGATGGCTGCATAGTATTCCATGGTGTATATGTGCCACATTATCCAGTCTATCTCTAGGTGTAGAAAGTTTTCTGTTATTATTTCTCTGAAGAAGCTTTCTACTCTTTGCTCCTTCTCAACCCCCATTTAAGGCCAATGAATCTTTGATTTTCTCTTTTGAAGCCCTCTTCTAGATCTCTTAAGCATTCTGTGTTCCTTCTCATTATTCTTTTCTTTTTTCCCTTCTGACTGTATTTGAAATAGCTTGTTTTAATGCTCACTAATTATTCTGCTCAATCGATTCTACTGCAACTCATTAAGGCATTTTCCAGCTGCAGGATTTTTTTGGCTATTTTCTATTACGTCAGCATTCTTGTTAAATTTTTCTGATCCAAGTTTGAATTGTTTCTGTTTTCTTGAAGTTCATTGAGCTTTCTCAAAATAGTTACTCTGAGTTTCCTGAGAAGTTACATGTCTCCATTGCCCCAGGGTTGGTCAGTGGCGGCTCATCTAGTCTATTTGCTGAGGTCATATTGACTTCAGTGTTCTTGATACTGTTGATATTTGTCAATATCTGGGCATTGAAGGATAAGGTATTTATTCCAGCCTTTGCAGTCAGGTCTTGTTTGTACCTGTTTTTTAGACGGCCTTCCAGGAATTCAAAGTGTGCTGACGAGTTCCCTATGGCAGTGGTCACTACAGCCATTTTTGTCCTACATGGCATTCTAGGCCCAGGTACACTGCAATCTTTACAGATGCCCAGGTCCCCAACCCTTTTGGACTTGGGGGAAGATCAGGGATTGTTCTCTAGGTTCACAGGTAAAGCGTGTAGCTTACTTTCCTTCATTTTCCCCAAGCAAAAGGAATCTCTCTGTAGGCTACACTGCCTGGAGTATGGGGAGGGGTGATGCACCATTCCCATAGCTGCTGCAGCTGCTGCTGTCATACTGGCTGTGACCTCAAGTCCGGCGTCTTCCAGACCTAAGCAACATCAGGGTTTGCCCAAGGAGTGCTGTGGTCACTGCAGTCTGCCTGCCCCTGATATTTATTTGAAGCCCAATTAATTTCCAGTGATAAAGCTGAGCAGAACTTTGGTGGGCTCTTTCTCCTGGGGCAGCTGATTCCCTTGTGGCCCAGGGTGAGTCTAAATGCTTCTGTGGACATCAGCCTGGAATCAAGCGCTGTTGGGTTCTGTTCAGGGATGTGTTTCACTATGGCCAGACTGATACCGAGTTTGAATATAAAGTTCCACACTTTCCTCCTTGTCTCCAAAAAAACTTTTTTCAAAAAGCATTTTAAAAGTTTTATGTCAATGTTGATGGAATGACATACTCTTTGACTCAAAGGTCTTAAATGGATTTTTAGTTTTGATGCAGTGTGACAGAACACTTTTTAAAGTGTGATCTACAGCACTCATGTACTAAAATCACCTGTGGTGCTTATATTATCAAAAGGCAGACTCTAGGGCCCACACCAACTACATCTCCTTGGGTTGGAGACCAGTATGTAGCTCCTATAGTCTCCACCGCTGTTTCTAAGGTACACCAAGTTCAAGAACGATTCTTTCATATTTTCAGACTAGGGATTCTCACAAAATGACAAAGAGGAAGAACCTTAACTTTTTAAATTTAGAGTTCAAGCATTAGACTGCACTTCTTAAACACAGTTTATCTTTCCCATTTTCTCTTTCTAGTTCTGTGTACTGTCAAGGCATTGGTGCAGAAATAGGAAACAAAGCAGTGAAAGAAAAACTATGTATTTGTTTATATCTGTTTTGCTTTAATAATTACCAAAAAGACTTCCATTTTCTCTCTCCCACCCTGTCCACCAGTTATATTCGCCTTCAACTCATGGTGATAGCAACATATATACATCTATATCATGCATTTATACACACAAACATGCTGTGTCAGCACTGTGAAGACACAGACTGGGCTTTACTGTCTCTGGAAACCTCTCCCATGCCGCTTAAAAATGGGCACAGGTTTGCTCTGTGCAAGAATTTCAGCAGAACTGGTCTTGCTATCAGTCCCGTTTCCCCAAGGTAAGATAGGATGACAAAATCAGACAGTGTATTTTAAGTGAGGTCAGTCCAATTTGGATATCATAGAAGAAAAGAAATAGGATGTGCTAGCTTAAGCCTGAGATGGTATCTGGGGAGTCACTGCATTCGTGATGTGATCTCAAAGAACACAGACGCTGCAGTGCAGACCAAAGCCCAGCCCGACTCGACCCAATAGGATCAGGTGTGGATCTGTGAGTAGCACTCACTGAGTCCCCGCCAGTACTGTCCAGCAGGGCACCGCTGCTCACTATTGTGCTTTTAGAACCTGCCAGAGGAGCTCTAGCATTGGGACCACATGCCTCATTCATCAGAATCAGGGTCCTCTATCCACTGAGTTTTCCACCTCAGGCAGCTGATGAGGGCAAGAAGTGTGCTGTTGCTAGTTCCCACGTCGCTGGGGCTGTTGAGAAGCAGTATCACAAAACCGTCTATGCAAACTACACATTCTTTGCTTTATGCTGTGTCTAGTAGGCCTTGGCTAAGTGTATTCCATAGCTGTCAGGCTTTCTGCCTTTCTTCCTGCTCCACCAGGACACGCCTCTGACTCCCTCTTCTGGATTCTCCAATGGACTTGGAGAAACGAGGCCCAGATGCTCCTCAGCAGATAGGTGGCCGCAGAAAAAGGGGACAGGCCCACCCTTCCTGCTGTTTTAAGGACCTCTGGTGGCTGCGCTTCTTGCATGGTTCCTGGAAGGCAAGGGTCACAAGGCTGGAGTGCACGTCAGAGCCCTTAGGGATTTCACCTGCAGAGAAAAATGAAACAAACCAAACCAGTGTATATTGCCAAGCCCTGCTGATGCTACCTGAAGCTGGAGTGAGAGTGATGTGGTGACTAAAGCCAGGAGTGTGGTGAAAGCCAGGTAAGAGGATGAGCTAAGAGCATGCGCTGCAGTCTGGAGGAACAGCAGGTGCCCCAGGTTGCGGGAAGCCTCCCCACCTCCCCGAGTGCTGAGATACCTGCTCCAATTCACTGCAGGCTGGGTCGCTGGATTCTACCATTCACTCTTCAGGGGCCAGGTGACTCTCCAGATCACTTTGTCTCTGCCGAAAAATGGCCTCTGCCATCTTCCCCCAGAAAGAAGTGCTCAGCAGGAAGCATGCATATACAGCAACAGCCTGTTGTAGGAAGAAGAGGACATTTTTACGGGAAGTCCTCTGTTAAGTTGATGTCCAATTGACATAACGAGGATGTGAAGGGGCCAAGTCTATATGGACCTCAGAGCTCAACTAAGTCCAGTTCCACCTTTGACAGATGAGGGTGCAGCAGACTCACAGAGACTAAGGGACAAGCCAAACCAGTTGGTGACAAGCCAGGTATTAGAACTGAGGCCTCGGGTCCTTTACAGTGATTTATGGGAGGTCAAGGGAAAAGCTTTCACACTGGAAAAAGGCAGTGGATACTAGAGATTTTGGGGTTGGTTTTTCCGGGACAGGAATAAGGAGTTACAGAGGCAATCCTGTAAGTGTTGTTCTAAAGAGGTTCAGGAAAAAAGGAATTATCAGAGAAAAACAAAAGGGAATTACTGAAAAAAAAAAAAAAGTTAAATCATGGCCCTAGTCATTTTCACACTATGGAGATCGACATTCTCTCAGGTTACGATTTAGAAACATTTCTAGGAATATGTTTTATTGCTTATGGCAAAACTTTGAAGTTTTTGTTTTATTTTATATAGCAACACCAACAAGTGATGTGAGAGTGAATGAATTGGTAAATGTATGAATTGGGCAGGGGGTTGAAGAACTTTGACATCAGAGTTTTGATTTGACAGGGCGTGACCCCTAATACAGAGAAAGGGAAGCGTCCTTTTTTTGTTCCCCACCCCAGGAAAAGCTGAGGAGCTTCCCTGCTCAGCAGTGGAGCACCCTGGATTGGAGGACGCTGGGGAGCGGGAGCTTTGGCTCTGGATTAGATAGTCCTGGACAACCTCCCATCCTGAGGTGACATGGAGAATGGGCAGCTGAGCCCAGGTCTGGGGGAACGGGGTAGCTGCGCTATCCTCATAAGTTGTTCTGATGCTCAGGGGGTGCACTTGGAGGTTACTGCTTCTGGGAGAGGAGGCTTCTGCCTTCCCTGCCACCACCTTACCTGGGACAGCACTTGAATAGGAATCAATTTGCATCATTCCTGCTGTCACCAGCCTCAAAGACTAGGTAAGCAGCTTATTTCTCCCTCTGCAGAACTACTTTCAAAGCATTCCCAGCCTTCACCTCCTCCAGCTGGTTCTCCAGTTTTGGAGTAATGAGGGGCCCAGAATACGCGTGACTCAGGTTGGGTCAAGAAACTGACTCCCTGAATGTTGCCCTCTCCCTGCCTACCCCACCCTCATCCCATTCTGTAGGACCCTCTTGTCCTGGGGTGTCTCTGGCTTCTGGCTGTGGCATGGATTGGAACCTGCTGAAAGCAGATGGAGGCTGCTGCCTCAGGCAGGACCCAGGGAATCTACAACCCTTTGACCTTCTCAACGGGCTTCCCAGCCCTAAATTACCTTATCCTCTCTCCTGTGTCACACTCCTGTGTCCTGGCTTTCTAGGGACTCCAAATGACAGAACTAAGAGGTATCTGAAAGCTAGAGGCCAGCCCTCCAATTTGACAAAAGGGCAAACTGAGGCCCAGGAGAAGGAAAGCCTTGCCCAAGTCTAAACAGGAGACAGAGCCCCATTATTATGGAAAAACTGGTGCATGGGAAGGAGCATGCCCATAAGACTTTGGATAGCACTCCACCATTGAGCAGGGTGGGAATGTGAAAGAAGTGATCTGGGATTTTTGAGCCCAGGTTGCTTCGCTGGGTCTTTCCTGGTCTCTGTGGCTGGGAGCAACAGTTTTTAATTCCTGCGGCCCTGAGCCTCCCAAACACTTTATGAGAAAGGCAGCAGAGTTGGGGGAGGGCAGTGTTTGAGAGTTCCTTTTTCATCCCCTCTCCTCTGCCCCAGCAGCTGAGCAGCAACCCTTAATCCCTGTCTCTGCAGGCAGCTGCATCATTGTGGAGAAAGTGGTAAGGCTGAGGCCAGTGTCAGACTCCCCTGACCCCAGAGCAGGGACCTCTGTGCTGGCCCCAGGGGCTGAGGGGTACTGAGTGTACCTCCTGGACAGACACCTGCTCCCCACTATCCATGCCTGACCTGTCACTCAGCAGGGGAGCCAAGAAGCCTGCCCTGGAGCCACCTACCTGATGGGGACCTGGGTCAATCCAGTTCCACCCTCCTCCCTTCCCTGGAACCCATAGTCCAGCCAGTGCTGTAACTAAGCTGTGACTAGAAGGGCAGATTTTGTGTGTGTGTACATACATTGCACACACACCCCCAAGTAGGGGATGTGAGGACTGACTTTAGGACCCTGAGATATTGAAATACGTTAAGACTCAAATAAAATCTACCACAGTGAGAAGGGTACTCAGCTTATCAGAAATCAGATTCAAATAAGTCCCTTCACTTCCATAGTCTCGGTTTTCATGTCTGCAAAGTGGAAATAATTCCTAGGAGGAGAAACCTACGCAAAAATGATCCCCAAGCTGGAAGTTGCTGCATGGATGCAACACGATGTGGTCCCACTGCTCCCCGCCCCCGTGGGAGGACTGAGGATGGGAAGAGAAAGGGCTCTGGCTCAGGAACACAAGGGCAGCCTCCACCATCTCCTCACTGTGCCCCTTTCCTCTGCTACTGGCCTCCTCAGCCCTTCACAGGCCCAGGCAGCAGGGGATGGGGAGCCCCAAGTTCTCAGAGGGAGAGAGATTTGCCCTAAGGTCCTCTCCTCCTTCCCAGGCAGTGAGGCTGAGAGTACAGCCCTCTCCCAGAGCTTCATCCTGAGCCCCTCATGGTAGTCCTACAGCAGGTTTGAGCACATTTAGCTTCCCATGTATTCTCCAGCTTCTCTTTGGGTGGTATGGAACAAGGAAGAGTTTTGCAACATGCCTGGACCCACAGATTGTGGTCTGGGCATGCTGGGGCTGTGGGAGGGATTGCAGTCTCCCAAGCCTTCCCCAGAGCTAGGAACTGGCCAGTGACCACCTGCTGTGTCCCAGCAAAGCTGATGACACCCAGCACATGGCTATTGGCTATTCAGCCATTCCTGCCACTTGGCCTGGTCCCTGTGCGTGTCCCCTCCAAAGACAGTAGGACCCCTGCATGCTGCCCCCACCGGTGATTCTGCAGAAAGGTGAAGGGGAGCCTCTCCCAGCAACCAGTTCCCTTTGCTCTGCCTACCCGAACTGGGTGGTGACTGAGAATCAGAGGCAGAGGATTTAGAGAGCGTCTCTTCCTGCTCCCCAACTGGCAGATGAAGAAACTACCTGTCCAGAGATGTGAAGGGACATGTTCTGGGTCACACAGCAGGCCAGTGTCCAGGCAGGTTCCAACCTGAAGTCCCTGGGCCACTTGTGCTGCCCCAGGCACAGATCGCCTGCTTCCTCCACCTCCCTTGACCCCAAGCTTGAAATTGCAGCAAGATCCCAAGATGAGATGCTGGGGGAATTGTTCTACAGATTTGTTAATCGCATCTCAGAATGAAAGGGCCCTAAGCTCATCAGCCAGGAAGAAATCCAATTTGGCTTGAATAGCCATAGTTATTGGTCATATATCATTGAAATATTTTTATTTTCTATGAACCCAGTGGTGGAGGGGCTGGGGTGCTGGACTGGCTGCTGGGCCTAGAGGTTCTTCTGCACTTGGCGGCTGTGGTCTCCAGCCTCACACACCCAGGACTTGGGACAAAGAATGGGAGCCATGCGGTGGGAGGGGGCGGTCTGACCGGGTTGGCCAAGGCTTGCAGTGAGGGTTCCAGGAACCTCCTGATCCTTCAGGCCAGGGCATCTGGGAGTTTGGTCAGAAATCACAGGTCTATAAGTGTTGCCATTTTTATTAAGCTTTCATTGTCTTTTCCCCAGTGATGCCAGGGCTGCTGTGTGGGCTTCAGGATCCAGAGCTGGTAGGTTTTGATGGCGAGGCCTGAGTTGTGCAGGGAGGGGCAGCAGGTGGGAAAAGGGGTCAGAGAGGGTCAGTCGGTGGAATTCCTTTTGGCAGCAGGGCACTGTAGCTAAAAGGATGGGCTGTGATGTTGCCTCCAGAGACTCCAATCCAGCCCAGCTCTACAAGCAGCCTTGTAGAGTGAGGGTTGATCAGATATGATATAAACAAAAGTACCTCCTGTGTGCCAGACACACTGTAGTACTCAGTGAACGGTAAACTCTCCACCCAGTCCCCTTGTAAGGGGTCTGGCAGATAGTAAGCCCTTGGACTTCTATTTCCTTCTACTGTCTGGCTCTACCAAGAAGAGCTGTTTGGCTAATCTGGGTGTGCTGTGTGTGTCCCCATCTGGCTGGCCCAAATGCCATCATTTCTTCCCTCCCCATGGCTGCAGGAAAAGACACTCTGAGGAGTAAGCCTTGGCTAGTGATACAACAGCTTGAGTCCCTTCTCCCAACCCCCAGGGGCACATGTAAGCCATGGGAGGTGGGGACAGGGAGGCCAAAGGACAGATCAGGTGTGGAGGGAGCCACTGGCAACAGGGGAGGATGACCAGGGCAGCAAGGGCTTTCCAAGAATGCTCCTGGACCACCTGTATCAGAATCACCTGGGGAGGTGTTTAATTACAGATTCTAGGTTGGGCACGTTGGCTGACACCTGTATTCCCAACACTTTGTAAGATCGGGGCAGAAAGATTGCTTGAGCTTGAGGTCAGCCTAGGCAACCTAGCAAAACCCATTTCTACAGAAAAGATTTTATAAAATCCAGCCAGGTGTGGTGGCATGCGCCTGTAGTCTCAGCTACTCGGAAGGCTGAGGTGGGAGGACCACTTGAGCCCGGGAGGTCGAGGCTGCACTGAGCTGTGATAGTGTCACTGGACTCCAGCCTGGGAAACAGAGTGAGGCCTCGTCTCAAAACAGACCAAAGAAAACAAAGCCCAGCTTCCTGGGCCCCACCTCCTCCGAATCTGACCTGGTATCACCCTAGAATCTGCACTTTAACAAGTATACCGAGTCACTCTGATTCACAGTGAAGTCTGAGGATCTTTGCAACATAGAATAAAGGAGTCTGCTCCAGTTGACTTGTGGACCTGCCTACAGCAGGGCCAGACCTTATGATGAACTAAGAAGTTCGTAATAATCACACCAGCTGCTGTG